AGAGAATAAAAAAAATGTAAATCCTACATTAGAAAATGACTTAAGTTGTAGTGTTATCTAGTCTAAATATTTCTTTGAAAAAAGTAAAACATTATTGTATTTTAGCATGGCGGTTGGGTTGGGTTTGGATTCGGTCATGTCTCACTCATTTTGAGTTCGATCATCTTGGAATTTAACCAAGAGAATCTTTGGTCAAAATTAAACTTTATTACTTTTGGATCAATATCCCACATGATATTCCACCTAAGGGATCATGTATCTTCTACTATAGTGGAAATTAAGAGAGTGTTTGGTTGGGTTCGGAAAGAAGCTTAAGGTTGGACCAACCACAATTAATAGGGGGTGTGTGCAGTGTGTGTGTCTTGTCATTCCGAACCAAACAAATATTTGATCTCACCAAAGATTATTTCCCAACCATTAAAACATGAACCCATAATCGACCTATGATCTGTCAATGGTCAACATCCACCAAGTCGCGTCGCCCATGCATCCAGCCTAAAATAAAACAGTAAAATAATTCTAATTTAATTAAGCAAAATAAAATAAAATAAAAATTAAAAGGGTGTCTGTTTGACCACTGTTTTGCAGAGTAATTATATTGTTTTGTGCCCACCTTCACGGAATCTCCCTCCCTCCATCCATTGCTCCCTTTGGATGGGCTACCTGGATGCATATATAATTCTACTCGTAATTTTCTTGAAGGAAAGAGATAAGAATCTATCGGTGTTGATAGAATTTAGGATTGGGTATGAACAACTGGATTGGGTAATAAGACACTTGGGTCGAACCACATTAAAAGATTAAATCCAATCGATTAGTTAGTTCAACTCTAGAGCTTATATACCGATTATTTTCTCTTGGATTTTCCGATGTGGGATGTACTCTAACACTCCCCTCAAGTGGACAAACGGGCCATTTTGAATCTAACCGGTTGACCACTTGCAAATGAACTCCCATTCCCTTGACTTTTTTTTAGCGCCAACACCTAAAGGATCACGAGCCGCTGGGTATGGACTTCCAGACGAGCAATCGTGTTAAACAAGCCACAGGCCGTTGGGTACAACCTCCATACGGACAACTGGGCTAAAGACTAACGGGCCGCTAGGAATGAATGTCTAGACGGACACCTTGACAAATGAGGTGGGCCAAAACCTGCTCCGATACCATGATAGAATTTAGGATTGGGTATGAACAACTGGATTGGGCAATAAGACACTTGGGTCGAACCACATTAAAAGATTGAATCCAATCGATTAGTTAGTTCAACTCTAGAGCTTATATACCGATTATTTTCTCTTGGATTTTCCGATGTGGGATGTACTCTAACATGTTAAAATTCCGGCGGGTCGAGAATAACGGATAGAGAGTCGGGTAAAATTAATCACTTGCACATAAAGTCAGGATCCACAATTCTAACCCAAAAGCTTAAGCTATAGGTAGGGCTTCACCCTTCAATATATGCAAGTGATACTCATCTTTATTTTCCGATGTGAGAACTCCAACACTCCCCCCGCAAGTGGTAACTAGCCTGACCTAGTTAGCACTTGGACAAATGGGTCTAGCATCTCAATCTCTTATAGCTAGCCCACACAACGAGCGGTGGCATCTCAATATCTTTTTAGCCAACTTAGCCCAAACCACAGACGGGGTAGCTCATTTTTGCTAAACCCACATCCAAACAACCAAGAACAATCAAACCCGGACCGAACATGCTCCGATACCATGTTAAAATTCCGGCGGGTCGAGACTAACGGATAGAGAGTCGGGTAAAATTAATCACTTGCACATAAAGTCAGGATCCACAATTCTAACCCAAAAGCTTAAGCTGATAGGTAGGGCTTCACCCTTCAATATATGCAAGTGATATTCATCTTTATTTTCCGATGTGGAAACTCCAACAGGTGTCACATGAAATTTCATTTATTTCATTTTTTTTACTACAAGTAGAGGTGACGAACATACGCTAATTCACTTAATTATTATTACAACTTTTACTTAATATCTGACTAAAGTTAATAGCTTAAAATAGTAAACTTTAGCAAAAATGTAACGCATCTTGATACTATGATTTAATACTCCCTCCGTCTCTAAATAAACTTCCTCTTTCGTTTTTTCTTTGTCCCCAAATAAACTTCTCTTTTCTCTTAAAAAACCACTTTTACCCCTTACTTTTTCATACACTATCTATCACATCTTACTTTTACATATCACATCAAGGATATTTTTGAAAAATCAACACAAAAATATCTCTCCCTTAAATCCTCCAAAAGTCAAAAATGAAACTCTATTTAGGGACGGAGGGAGTAATAGATTTTCTTTCAAAAAAATTTAATACATCTTTTTAAATATTAAATTAGACAAACACTATAAAATAAAAATATTTTTTTAAATAATTAACTCCAACAAATAATGTAAATTAAAGTACTCCCTCCGTTTCTTAAAACGGGGGCAAAATAAGGAAAGTATAATTTTAGTTGATTTTCTAATTTTGCCCCTGATGTGATGGATAAAAGTAAGATGTGATAGTTTAGTTATTAGTGAAAAAAATATGATGTGATAGATAGGTTAAGAATTAATAGGGGTAAAACTGACTTTTTAATAGGAAAAGAGAAGTGTTTTTTGGGACGGATAAAAAAAGAAAGGGGAAGGGTTTTGTGGGACGGAGGGAGTATTAAATATCAGTCAATTAGAAGGTATTTTGATATTTTCTACTCCCTCTGTCCCATAAAGTGTTACCCATTTTGACTAAAGTTGAAATTAAGGGAGAGATAATTTTGTGTTAACTTTCCAAAAATACCCTTGATGTGATGGGTAAAAGTAAGATGTGATGTGTAGATTATTAGAAAAAAGGTATAATGTGATAGGTAGGGTTTGAAAAAGTAAGGGGTAAAAGTGGTTTTTTAATAGAAATGGGTAAGGGATTGTGGGACGCAATTTTTTTGAAACGTGTAAATCTTTTTGGGACGGAGGGAGTATTATCTAGGCTTAAAGTATGTTCTCAAATTGCTTCTTTATAATTAAGTATTTTTTCAAACTAATAATTTTTAAGTAAAGAATTTTTCAAAATAGGGACATTTTTTCACGTTAATAATTATTGTTTATTATTAGTAGCCTCCCACTTAATTTTAAAAAATAATTTTTAGGACTTATTCATAGTTTAGATAATAAAGAACATCAAAATACTCTTTATTTAAATATCATTTAATATGCATTTTTGATAAAGAACTAGGGGTGAGCGTGGTAGGTATGATACGGTATTTAGTCCATACCGATACCGTACAAAATATTTCGGTTCGGTATGAGATTTTATATCGTACCGATCCCGATCCCGATCCCGATCTTGAAGTGTATTGTTGGAAGTGAAAAAAATGAAAGAGGATGTGTTTTTGAGAACAGAGGGAGTATAAATTACTTTCTAGGTCGTTGTTGAAAGGAGTTGAAAAAAATTAGAAAGAACTGTAAAAAAGTTAGAGATTAATTTTTTTAAGACAAAAGAGGGGGACCTTATAAATTTATTAGAGCATATATCCCACGTCCATTAACGCAAAGTGTTAGATTTTGGTGTTGAGCTTCCTCCAATAGTACCTTATATCTAAAGTCAAAACGCATTTTGAATTTTTCTCATTTTCAAAGGCATATTTGCGTTTCAATATGGTGTACTGCAATTTTTTACTTTGTGCTATATATTTTACGTTTTAATTTGGAAAATGCCATTTCGAACAATATTCAACTCAACAATTTCAGTATGTTGAAAACCAAAGACGTTTGATACCTATGGAGAGGTCAAATTACGTGAATGAGAGGTCAAATTAACTTTTCAAACAAAAGACGTGTAAACATAAAGATTAAACCTGACATTAAAATAGGTGAAGTTCATTTCTAGTCATAGATTAACCAATTTAGAATAATAAAACCTGGGTGGGATTGATAATGTTAAGCGCAGCAGTGATACAAGAAAACCTCATATGAACGAATCTGAAAAAACTTGATACACTAAATGCATCGCGTGATTACTTTTAGACTAAAATTATTTAGGAGTATAACAAAGTATTTTAATCGAATATGATATTAGTATCAAATACGAGTTTGTTGACGAAATAACAGAGTACAACTTTACACACAACATTATTCGAATGTGTTGGCGAATACACTCAAATGTATGCGGCACTTAATGTAAAGCATTTTCAACGGTTTTAAACATGAAGCGTTGTGTCCATTCTTGTAACATTCTAATTATTGGCGACAGAAGAAGGAAGCCGGATCAAAGAAGGAAACTGAATCCTTTTGGGGGCCTACTAGACCGGGCCTAATAATATTTTAGGGGCTCAACTTTTTAAATGTTATATATATATATATATATATATATATATATATATATATATATATATATATATATATATATATACACATACATACATACATGTGTGTGTGTGTATCTTTAGTGTAGTAGGAGATACTTTATCTACTTGAACTAGTAAATATGTTGTTAGTTGTTAGATAATTAAGGACCATTATCGTCTTGTACTATACTACTCTACTATATTTTCTATTTTCTAAATAACATTTTTTATCTTTAACAAAAAAACAAATAGAGAATAAAAATAAAGACAAAATTTATAAGGATAGGCAAACAATGGAAAAAAAGCATAAATACTTTATGATAAAAATACCGCCTCATTAAAAGGACCATTAACATCTTTTAATTGAAAATGTGACAGATTGGCAGTAAAATGACCATTGACCTTAACTTCTTCAAAGTGTGGATGGGGAACTGGGTTACAAGGGTTAAGACAGACAAAAATGCATTCATGTGATGCACTAGAAACATATACTATATTTTTTACATCTTTATGTCAAAAACAATGTATTTGTGCATATATTTAGGAATAACATCTATAAAAAATCAAAATAAAATTGAGGATAATAATTAAAATTGAAACATAATTAAGGGCCGCCACGGAAAATAAATTACTCCGTACAAAAATACAAATAAAAATAATGAAATACATTAGATGAATCCGATGGAGGAGAGGAAAAATGAGTCAACTCTCACTATTGCGAACAGCGACGTACGGGTTTTTTTCAGCTGATAAATTTGACTTTTCCCATCGCAAAAAAAAACGTTCGATCGACGATCTCATGGCTCGGGCTTGAAGAACATGGAAGAAGGAAGCATATCTTGAAGCAAGCCATAGTCAGAAGGCAGCTGGAACTGATGAGTTAGATTAATTTGTTGATGGTAATTATTGTGATTATTATTATTATTATTATTATGATTAAGAATGGAACCGCCATTAGTAATAGTATTATTATTAGCAGCTGATGAAGAAGAAGAAAAGTATGGATTATTATTTGCATGGAGGGTGCTGCGGAAGTTATAATTGCTGTTGTAGTGCTGATGATGTGGCGGCGGCGGCATGTGGAGGAGGAGGTCGTGGGAGAAGCCGATGGGAGTGGTGGTGGGGTGTAGCAAGGACGGCGGCGTGAGCATGCCGGCGGCGAAACTGCCGCGGAGGTTGGTGGGGATGTGGTGGTTGTGTTGACCTTCGTAGGTGGTCACCACGACGGAGGGGTCTTGGTATGACCGCTCCACCCGCTTCTTCACCGCGCATTTTTGACTTGTGCACCTGTAATAGCTCCTGCACCCATTCACACAACCAATATATGCCAACATAAGATAGACCTTTTATTTTATTTTGGTTAATTACTTTGGAAACTTTTTTTTAAAGATTCTAATGTGAAAAAAAATCTACTGTAATATTTCATTTAAAAGATTCTGTATTTTGTTTATTTATTCTAATATAAATTGATGACTATCAATTGATAAGTATGTCTAATTAAATTTGACGTGTATATGATATACTCCCTCCGTCCCAAAAAGAATGGGACGGTTTGACTTTTTAGGAAATTAAGGGAGGGATATTTTGGTATTGACTTTCCAAAAATACCCTTGATGTGATGGGTAAAAGTAGGATGTGATGGGTAGATTATTAGAATAAAGGTATGATGTCATAGGTAGGGTATGAAAAAGTAAGGGGTAAAAGTGGTTTTTTAATAGAAATGTAACGGACTTTATGGGACGGAGTTTTTTCTAAACGTAACAAACTTTTTGGGACGGAGAGAGTAGTATATATAAACATATAATAAGACGTATTCTAAAAATAGAAAATGTTTAAATCGCACACGTATCTATATCTGTATACCGAATGTTTAATATGTATAGTAAGCCATATTTTATAAAATTATATTCTAACATATTATACACGAATGTACGTATTGGCATATTAGACGTCATCCGTATATTACGGAGTACTAACTATAGCCAAATACAAGTGTTTCATCACATTGTCAGGACTTTTTTTATTTAGTGGATAAAATATTGTCCCTTTATTCTATACTCCGTATTAATCGTCTATTCTCTCTGTCCCTTAAAGTTTTTCTTGTTTTGAGTTTTAGAAAAATTAAGAGAGCGATTTTTTTATGTTAATTTTTCAAAAAAACTATTCATGTGATGAGTAAACGTAAAATATGATGAGTAGATTATTAGGTAAAATGTTTAATGTGATTGATATGATAAATATTAGTAGTGGTAAAAGTGGTTTTTTAATAGAAAAACAAAAGAAGTTTGTGGAACAAAAAAAACAAAAAGAGAACTTTTAAGGGATGGAGGGAGTATTATTCGCACTGGGACAAAGATTAAAGTAGGACTAAAAAAAAGTATAGTAATGCGCACATGTACAGTGCCACATTACCACAGTGCAAAGTCCTATTTTGGGGAAAAACAAACATGAAAGTTCTATTTTGATATTTTTCTCTATGTTTTAGTAATATTATTTAGGATGATTTCTATATTTGCATTATCTTTTTAATTAAATACTTTAGTTATCCACACTCCAGTTATAACACTTAAAACTATAGTTAATTAAGTAATTAACTCGAAATTTAATTTGATTTTCCTAATTATTTTAATTAAAATTACTATTGCGAAAGTAAGACAAAAAAGATGCCTATGATGTTGTAATCTTCCGACAAACGTTTGCTTTCAAATGAGAAGTTAATTACATGTTCAATTCAATCTTTTCAAATCTTTAATAAGAAGTACTCCGTATTATTTAAAAACATATAATTAAATATTGTAAAATGTGATTATGGACAACAATCATAAATAATTTATAAAAATCATAAGTAATAATCCTACCTCGGGTAAGGGCTATTCTTCACAGCCTTCTGCCCATACTTCCTCCATCTATATCCATCTTCAAGATGATCAACTTCGCTCTTCGTCATGAAAGCGATTCGCGGTTGTCGTTGTTTCTTCTCCGCCTTCTTCTTCCCTTTATTATTCCTATTTGTCACAAACGTAGCGACACTCGGGTCAACACATTTTTTTCCGTAACGAAAAAAGTACCATAAAAAGAGTCACATTTCATATGAACAAATTAAACGATAATTATTATTAATTACTCTTTTTTATCGTCTCCGTCTTCGGAAGCACCCTTCACTTGCTTATCTCTCTTATCGGGGGCGACCTTGCTCGTGTCCTCGTCCCCCACCGCTTCAGTGGAGGAGGACGAGATCGACGTGTTTGGCGTGAGAGGGGCGTCGAGGACAGGGTTTCCGACCCCCCCGTCCATTACGAACGACATTTTCTGCTCATCTTTAAATGAGCAGAAAATGTCAGAGGAATTTTGAGGGGAAAACCCGCCGCCATACGACGCTTTCGCGTAGTCGCTCGGCCCGTTCAAAGCGTCGGCGAAGCTCATGTATGGCGACGAATGGTCTAGGAAGTGAGGGCTTGCGGGATCGCCCGGTCTTTGCGTGGTTGTCGTGGAGTAAAGAAACCCGAGCGATCGGTCGTCTTGGAACGGGTGGTGGTAGAACAAGTCTCTAAGCTCTTCAGACATGGATGGAGAAGGAGAAGAGGAGAGAAAGAATTGATGAATGAATTGAATGAGAAGAAGTGGTGAGGAATGGAGAAAGAGCTGAGAGAGGGTTTGACAAGAGCTTAAAGCTGAGACAATGAGGGTTTTATGGGAGGTCAATTTTACTATTTGATTAAATGATTTTTTTAAATTTATTTTTCTCTCTAGTTTAATTAATGCTCCCTAATTAACCTTGATGAAAGGTTTGAATTGGCTCAGGGGGACCCACATTTGTGTAAAGAAGATTTGACTAAGTTATGAGGCCCATCTACTCACTGTCTCACTCTCTCTTTCCCTATCTCAACTTTTATTTGGATTTTTCCTGGCTATTCACAATAAAGTATTTCTTTATTTATTTTTAATCGTTACTCAATAAATTAGTGGCAAGTCTAAATCACCTCAAAAAAACTGTGAAGAGGTGATTATTATTACCCCATATTTTTATTAATAGTAAATTCTACAATTAATTCTTTATAACAAGAGTTTTTCATATTAAGTTTTTTATTCACATATTACGTCTGTGCTTTTCTTTTCCGGGTGCCTTTTTACAGATAGTGTTTTTTTAACCTTTTGTCATGTTGGTATTAAATTGAGGATTAAAAGTATAGTTTCAAAACGATCATATATTCTTCTTGCCATATATAGCCAAAGCCAATTTTTCCATAAAGAAGAGTCTCTAAAACACAAAGTTCCCCCAACATAGAATTCATCGTGTTGTACGACGATCTTGGGCAGTGGATAATCCCTGAATATTCAATGGGGATTGTGATGGCAATTTTTTTTTTGGGTTTTTTTGGTGAGTCTCACAATGAGAGCACCAATTGATACGATATTGTATCGAGATAGAGAAGAACTTCGAGCGTTCTTCAAGCTCCAGGAGAAAAAGAGACGAGAAGAGGGAGAGATCCGCGAATCTTTGTTCAGCGGAAGAGAAGAACGAGAGATAAGAGGAAGAGATTAGGGTTTAGAAAAATGATTATTCTTTATTGATTTAATTCTAAAGCAATACATCTCAATATATAAAGTGAAACTCTAAAAGCCTAAGGGAGTCCAATCTCTAAAAGGAAACTAAATAAAATAAGAAACTAATTAATAACCTAAAAACATTTACACCTTTCAAAAAAATTGCGTACCACAATCTCCTTCCCATTTCTATTAAAAACCACTTTTAACCCTTATTTTTTCAAATCCTACCTATCGCATCATACCTTTTTCCTAATAATCTACGCATCATATCCTACTTTTACCCATCACATCAAGGGTATTTTTGGAAAGCCAACATAAAATTATCCATCCCTTAATTTCAACTTTAGTCAAAACGTGTAAATCTTTTTGGGACGGAGGTAGTATTATCTAATAATAATTAACTAACCATATATAATACCTTACCTATAATAATAATAATAATAATAATAATAATAATAATAATAATAATAATGATAATGGTGATGATGATGATGATGATAATGATGATAATTGTTCCGTAACATGTTGTACCTCGAATTTTAAGGGCTTAATTCATTAAATATTTTGTTTATGTTTGACAACTCCAAACGAAGTAAACAAATTTAGAGAGAAAAAAAAAAGAGAGCAAAAATGCCAAAATTAAGAAGGAAATGAAATGCAGCCTTTTATACGCCCAAGAAGTTAGCAATATAAAATGTCGCAATCTCCGTCAATTCGCCAAACATGTCGACCAAGACGACTAATCAAACACACACACACACATGAGATCTAATTTTTCATGAGAACAATGATGTACTTTTGGGTCACAATACTATTCTTTTAACCCCTAATTTAAATTTCTTTTTACCAACACTTTTTTTTTGCAAATTAGTGAGTAGAATAAATGACGAAAATTATATTTTTGAAACTGTTTATACACTCAAAATTATCATTTGTCCGTGCCTATGTAAAGCATGAAATTAAAGGTAATTTCAAAATTTTGCGTTATCCTAACGCTTATGTTTTTACCTAGAAAAGAAACGTCTGAAAAATCTAAAATTAGAGTGGTTGGCATGGGTAGAGTGAGCTCGGAGTCGTCTTAGTTTGTACGGAGTAGTTTAAATTGGTGCATTTTTGCGTTCAACTATAGCTTGAGTTGTGTTCGTATGTTTTTTTATGTTTCAACGGTAAATTTGAATGTTTAGTTGATACTCCATCTGTTACTTTAAACCTTCCTATTTTGACTTTAGGCCAAAATAAGGAAAATGTAATTTTGGTTGACTTTCCAATTTTGCCCTATTGTGATGGATAAAAGTAAGATGTGGTAGTTTGGTTATTAATGAAAAAGTATGATGTGGTAGGAGGCCGTGTAGTATGAAAAAGTAGGGGTAAAAATAATTTTTTAATAGAAAGTGGAAGTTTTTAAGGAATTGGAAACAAACAAAAGAGGAAGAGTTTTATGGAACGGAGAGAGTATTATTTAGGATCAAAATTTAAATTTAGTTTAGGAAATTGATAATGACACCCTAACATATCCATTGATAAAGGACACAACAAATTTGTTGTTGAGAAAATATCTCTCATTAGTTTTGCTAATGTTATATAGAGTATTTTTGTCTTTTAGCTGTACATTTGGAGTATCGTTATCAATTTTGGAATGTCCAATACTTGAATTGAAAAACAAAAAAAAAAGAATACTTGAATTGATAACTCAAACAGAAAAAAAATGTCCCGAAAACTAATGACTCAATTTAAAATTGGAAACAGAAATGAACCCAAAAAAATAAAAATTAAACTTAATGCAACTAAATTCTAATTATTTTAAAACCAATCATACTCAAACTTATTAGACCCAAAATTAATTAGACAAAAGATTGATTAAACTCAACCATTGGATCCAAAACTAGTAAAGCCCGAAATCAATTTGATGTGAAACCAATCAAAACCAAAGTAATTCACACCCTATCCCATCATATACTCCCTCCGTTCCACAAAATCTTTCATCTTTCGTTTTTTTGCTTTCCACAAAACACTTCTACTTTCTATTAAAAAACCATTTTTACCCCTACTTTTTCATACCATACCTATCACATCATACTTTTTTCACTAATAACCAAATTATCACATCTTACTTTTTCCCATCACATCAGGGGCAAAATTGGAAAGTCAACCAAAATTACACTTTCCTAATTTTCCCCAAAGTCAAAACCGGAAGGGTTTTGTGAAGCGGAGGGAGTACAAATTTAAACACAGTAGTAGTATATAGATAAATCATATGCATCTTTTGGCAAAAATTTTGAAACATTTTAATTCCAAACTAAATTATTCATATTAACAAAATCACAAATATTAGATTAAATTATTATTATTATTATTATTATTATTATTGGGGTCAATATCAGATTATTTTTAAAACCCAAAAATTAGTGTGAAAACTTAAAATAATGGAAAATGTTATGGAGTATATTTAATACTCCATATTAAATACTCCGTACTTAGTTTTCATTTTAATACTTAGTTTTTTATATAATAATAATAATAATAATGTGATGGAATAATTTTTAGTATGAATGAAAACATATATATATATATATATATATATATATATATATGCAGAAAAATAAATATTCGAGAAGTAAATTTATATAAATTTTTCTTTTTCAAAGAAAAATACTTATGAACTAAAATATACCTGAACCAATATTTATACAAACCATGGGATCTGGAAACAATTAGAAGATGTTTGAATTTAAAAAATATAGCTCAAAAGAATAGAGCCTAAAGTATAAAAAGCTAAGAAGGAAAATGCTTAACTAAAATTAAAACATGTTTCATATATAAAAATAGGATCTTCAATGTTTTTTTAGTAAAAATACTCCCTCAGCTCTATCCTGTTATTTTATCCAGTTCTGAATTACGATATTTGACTAAAACTTATTATTTTGATGGAATTTATCTAAATAGAGGTGTAAAATTAAGAAAAAAAATTACACATTAAAAACCTACATTAAAAGTTCTATAAAATAAAAGGTGACACACACACACACATATATATATCTGTGTGTGTCAGCTTTTATTTTATAGAACTTTTAATGTAGATTTTTAATGTGTAATTTTTATTTTTTTAATTTTAATTTACACCGCTATTTAGATAACATATGGTAGATGAAAATATGTAAAGAAAATAGAGTTAGTTTGATGTTGTGAATAATGAATGTTAAAAAAATTATAGGACAAAAGGAGTAAGATCTATAATGCCAAATATTGATCTCTCGCATGATATTAGTTCTCCGTAGTAATATGTACTCCCTCTGTCCCGGAAAACATGGGAGTTTTGATTTTAAAGAGGGATTTAAGAGGAGTGTATTTTGTTATTGAATTTTCAAAAATGTCCTTTGATGTGATTGGTAAAAGTATGATTTGATGGATAGATTATTAGTAAAAAGGTATGATATGATAGGTAGGATATGAAAAAGTAAGGGGTAAAAGTGACTTTTTAATAGAAATGAGAAGTGTTTTTTTGGAACGGGTGAAAAAAGAAAGAAGAAAGGTTTTCAGGGACGGATGGAGTAATAAGCTGAAAAATAAGTTAGATAGTACGCAACCTGACTTGTGGTTGTTTCACAATGTCAATATATTTATTTAGAAAATAAAAACATATAAGGTCTTGTTTTGATATAAGCTGGATATTTTAGTCCTATTTAGGTAGAATTTTGAAAAAACTAAATTTGATGAGAAGAAATTTTTCGTTGTGGGTGTTTTAGAGTTCCTATATTGTGAAACTAGATGTACAATGTTATTCTATATCTGTCAAATGAACATTTGATTTACTGGTTACATGGTGCTCGTTTCATACACTAATAATAATAATAATAATAATAATAACAATCATATAATGATAATAATAATAAGAATAATAAGAATAATTCGATCCTCAATTTTAAGGCAATGCCTTCGTGATGCTCTATATTTAAGAATTATTACAAAATCAGTCTTTTGACTCAAAAATTGTTTTTCACATATAGTCTTCAAATGACTAATTATAGAATATTTTTCAAATGCAGAGGAGCACAAGTGTAATATCATGTTGGTAAAATTGAAGGTTCATATCTGCATCTTCTAAACCTCCCACACTTGC